TCACCTCGACGACCTCCAGGGCCTCATCAAGAAGATCCGCAGCGACCTCGAGAAGCTCCAGCGCAAGAAGATCGTGGCTCTGGTGACGACGGACCTCCACGCGCGGGACATCGTCGAGGAGCTCCGCGACAAGGGCGTTCGAGATGTGGGCGACTTCACGTGGATGCAGCAGCTCCGATACTACTGGGAGCACGTCGTCGACACGGAGGACTGCCTCATCCGCCACAGCGACGCGGTGATCAACTACGGCTACGAGTACATGGGCGCGACGAGCCGCCTCGTGATCACGCCGCTCACGGACCGCTGCTGGCTCACGCTCACGGGCTCCTACGGCCTGAAGCTGGGCGCCGCGCCCGCGGGGCCCGCGGGCACGGGCAAGACGGAGTCGTCGAAGGACCTCGCCAAGGCCATGGCCATCCAGTGCGTCGTCTTCAACTGCTCGGACCAGATCGACTACAAGATGATGGGCAAGCTCTTCCGGGGGTTGGCCCAGTCCGGGTCCTGGACCTGTTTGGACGAGTTCAACCGCATCGACATCGAAGTGTTATCCGTCATCGCGCAGCAGCTCCTCGTGCTCCGCGAGGGCCGCATCGCGGGCAAGAGCTCCATCAACTTCATGGGCGTGGAGATCAAATTGCTGGACCACCACGTCATCATCACGATGAACCCGGGCTACGCGGGCCGCACGGAGCTGCCGGACAATCTGCAGGTCTGCTTCCGGCCCGTGTCGATGATGGTCCCGAACTACGCGTTGATCGCGGAGATCATGCTCTTCGCCGAGGGCTTCGGGGACGCGAAGACGCTGTCGCGGAAGATGTGCAAGCTCTACATTCTGTGCAGCGAGCAGCTGAGCCAGCAGCCCCACTACGACTACGGCCTCCGCGCCGTCAAGTCCGTCCTGGTGATGGCCGGCGGCCTGAAGCGCGACAACCCGGACATCAGCGAGGACCTCGTGCTCATCCGCGCTTTGAGAGATTCGAATCTGCCGAAGTTCCTCGCGGACGACATCCCCCTCTTCTTCGCGATCATCGCGGACCTGTTCCCCGGCGTCGTCGTGCCGGACAACGACTACGGCGAGTTCCAGGTCACGCTCGAGGACGAGATCACCAAGGCGGGCCTCCAGAACATCCCGGGCTTCCACAAGAAGGTCATCCAGATGTTCGACATCTTCAACATCCGCTTCGGCGCGACGATCGTCGGCCCGACGGGTGCGGGCAAGTCGACGTGCTACCGCATCCTCGCGGCGACCATGGGCAGCCTCTTCCGCGCGGGGTCGTCGAACACGCAGTACCAGGAGGTGCGCTTCGAGATTCTGAACCCCAAGTGCATCACCATGGGCGAGCTCTACGGCGAGGTCAACATGGTCACGCAGGAGTGGCGCGACGGCCTCGCGTCGACGATCATGCGCCGCGCGGTCGGCGAGGAGAGCGCCGTGCGCAAGTGGACGGTCTTCGACGGGCCCATCGACGCGCTGTGGATCGAGAACATGAACACGGTGCGCGCCAGGGCAGCAAAAGGGTGCGACATTCCCAACTTCAAAGGCTCCTCTCTCGGCCGTTTTCCACTCGTTTCGGCTAATTCTTGGACGAGCGATCGTCTCTCGGAACGGCCTCGAAGCGTGGGCGCTTTTTCCGGAACGCGCGCGCGCGGAACACTCACGTTGAAGCGACGTTGCATCACTCTTGTGCTGCCCAGGTGCTCGACGACAACATGACGCTGTGCCTCGCGAACGGCGAGCGCATCAAGCTGAAGATCGAGATGAAGATGCTCTTCGAAGTCATGGACCTCGCCGTGGCGTCCCCGGCGACGGTGTCGCGCATCGGCGTCGTCTTCATGACGCCGTCGGACCTGGGCTGGTTCCCCTACGTGCAGTCGTGGGCCGCGGACCTGCCGGATCAGGTGCCCGACCACGCGCGCGCGCACCTCCTCAAGCTCTACGACGCCTACTTCCAGAAGGCGCTCACCTTCCAGCGCAAGAAGTGCAAGGAGCCCGTGGGCTGCGTCGACATCCAGCTCGCGACGTCCTGCGCGGTCATCTTCCAGAGCCTCTTCTGCGGCTCCGAGTCCAAGGTCGACTTCGAGTCCTACGCGAAGACGCCGGAATTGTTATTACGGCTCGTGGAGAAGCTCTGGTTCTTCTCCTTCGTCTGGTCCGTCGGCGGCTCCATCGCGTCCGAGGGCCACGACGGCTTCGACTACTTCGCGCGCGACATGCTCGACCAGGGCGGCGTGAATTTAGATTTGCCGGGCGCGGGCCTGTCCTACGACTACTTCGTCCAGGTCGCGGACCAGCCGGGGGGCAAGTTCCTGCCCTGGAAGCAGGTCGTGCCGTCCTTCAAGTTCCAGCGGGACCTGCCCTACACGGCGATCGTCGTGCCCACGGAGGACAGCACGCGGTTCTCCTTCCTCATGCGCACGCTCGTGACGGCGATGAAGCCCGTCTTCATGACGGGCGTCACGGGCACGGGCAAGACCGTCATGGTCCAGAGCCTGCTGCGGTCCCTGGAGCCGCTCCAGGACGAGGGCGGTTTAGGAGTGGTCCCGACGTTCCTCAACTTTTCCGCGCAGACGTCGTCGCTCGTGACGCAGTCGGCCATCGAGTCGAAGCTCGAGAAGAAGCGCAAGAATTTGTTGGGCGCGCCGGCGGGGAAGACGTGCATCATCTTCGTCGACGACATCAACATGCCGCTCGTGGAGTCGTACGGCGCGCAGCCGCCGGTGGAGCTGCTGCGCCAGTTCCTGGACTTCAAGGGGTTCTACGACCGCGAGAAGCTCTTCTGGAAGGACATCACGGACACGATGCTCTTCACGGGCGCCGCGCCGCCGGGCGGCGGCCGCGCGGAGGTGACGCCGCGGTTCACGCGCCACTTCAACGTGCTCTGCGTGCCGCCCGCGTCCGACGCGGCCAAGACCGTCATCTTCGAGTCGATCTTTGGGGGTTTCATGACGACCTTTGAAAAAGATCTACAAAAAATGGTCAAGGGCGTCGTCTCGGCGACCATCGAGGTCTACAACAGCATCTCCGTGGAGCTGCTGCCGACGCCGGCGAAGTTCCACTACTCGTTCAACCTGCGAGACATCTCCAAGGTCTTCCAGGGTTTGTTGATGGTGGCGCCCTCGAAGGTCAAGGACGGGGAGACGTTGTCGAAGCTCTGGCTCCACGAGTCGCAGCGCGTCTTCTACGATCGTTTGATCAACGTCGCGGACCAGGAGTGGTTCGAGAAGCTGGCGTGCGAGCTGCAGACGCGGCACCTGGGCCAGATGCCGCAGACGCCGGAGCAGGTCTTCGGGGAGAACTCGGTGATCTTCGCGGACTTCCTGAAGCCGGGCGTCGAGCTCGCGACGCGGCGCTACGAGCTCGGCAACCTCGAGCTCATCACGCGGCTTTTAGGCGACACGCTCGACGAGTACAACATCACGTTCCCGACGCAGATGAACTTGGTGTTCTTCAGCGACGCCGTGCGCCACGTCTGCCGCATGTCTCGTATTTTGCGCCAGCCCCGGGGCAACGCCATGCTCGTGGGCGTCGGCGGCAGCGGCAAGCAGTCGACGACGCGCATGGCGGCGTTCGTCGCGGAGATGCCGTGCCTCCAGATCGAGATCTCCCGGGGCTACGGCCTCAAGGACTTCCGCGAGGACGTGAAGAAGTTCATGATCACGACGGGCGTCGAGGGCACGTCCATCGTCTTCCTCTTCACGGACACGCAGGTCGTCGAGGAGTCCATGCTCGAGGACATCAACTCGATCCTCAACTCGGGCGAGATCCCGAACCTCTTCCCCCAGGACGAGCTCGACAAGATCTGCTCCGACATGATCCCCGTCTGCGACGCGCTGGGCGTGCCGGCTTCCCGGGACAACTGCATCGCGACGTTCATCACGCGCGTCTGGGACAAGCTCCACATCGTGCTCTGCATGTCGCCCGTCGGCGACGCGCTCCGCGTGCGGTGCCGCCAGTTCCCGTCGCTCATCAACTGCACGACCATCGACTGGTTTCTGGGGTGGCCCGAGACGGCCCTCGTGGCCGTCGCGGAGCACTTTCTGGCGTCCGTGAAGCTCGGCAGCGGCTCCGACGAGCTGGAGCTGGAGCACCGGTCGGCGATCGTCCGCATCTGCGTGCTCGTGCACACGTCGATCACGGAGGCCGGCGACCGCTTCTTCAACGAGCTGCGGCGGCGCACCTACACGACGCCCAAGTCCTACCTGGACCTCATCTCCATGTACGCGTCGAAGCTCGGCGAGCTCCAGAGCATCGTCGACGTGAAGATCGAGCAGATGACCGTGGGCACGGAGAAGCTCCGCGACACGAACGCGATCGTCGACGGCCTCCGCGGCGAGCTCAAGGAGCTGGCCCCGGTCCTGGAGAAGAAGGCCGTCGACGCCGAGGCCATGCTCAAGCAGGTGGCCATCGACCAGGCCGAGGCCGACGTCGTCCGCGAGAAGGTCGCCGCGGAGGAGGCGGAGCTCTCGAAGCAGAGCGAGGCCGTGTCGAAGATCGCGGCCGAGGCCCAGGCCGAGCTCGACGTCGCCATGCCCGCGCTCCAGGCCGCCGTCAAGGCCCTCGATTCCCTCACGAAGAACGACATCGTCGAGGTCAAGGCCTTCAAGAGCCCGCCGCTCGCCGTGAAGGTCACGATGGAGGGCATCTGCATCATGCTCGAGCGCAAGCCCGACTGGGACGAGGCGAAGAAGGTGCTCGGCGACTCGCAATTTTTGGACAAGTTGAAGACCTACGACAAGGACAACATGAAGGAGGCCGTCATCAAGAAGATCCAGAAGTACATCGTCGAGCCGAACATGCAGATCGAGGTCGTCACGAAGGTCAGCTCCGCGGCCAAGGGCCTGTGCATGTGGATCCACGCCATGAACGTCTACCACAAGGTCGCCAAGGAGGTCGGCCCGAAGCGCGAGAAGGTGCAGAAGCTCACGGACCAGCTCAACGCGGCGAACGCGTCGCTCAAGGAGAAGCAGGACGCGCTCCAGGCCGTCATGGACAAGGTCCAGGCCCTCCAGGAGCAGTGCGACGCCACGGTCGCCGAGAAGACGAAGCTCATGGAGGCCCAGGCCCAGACGGCCCTCCGCCTCCAGAACGCGGAGAAGCTCACGAGCGGCCTGAGCTCCGAGGGCGTCCGCTGGAAGGAGAACCTCGTGAACTTCAACGCGCAGCGCGTCGAGCTCATCGGCGACACGCTGCTCTCCTGCGCGGCCATTTCATATTATGGCCCCTTCACGGGCGTCTACCGCGAGGCGCTCGTGGAGTCGTGGCTCGGCACGTCGACGGACCTCGGCCTGCCCTGCTCGAAGACGCCGAGTTTGCTCAACACCGTCGGCGACCCCGTGAAGGTCCGCGAGTGGCAAACCCAACTATTACCGACGGACGAGGTGTCGACGAACAACGCGATCCTGGTGACGGAGGGCAAACGGTGGCCGCTGATGATCGACCCCCAGGCCCAGGCGAACAAGTGGATCCGGAAGATGATGGAGCGGAGCGACCTGCTGACGACGACGATGACGGACATTAATCTTTTGCGCGTTTTAGAAAACGCGATCCGCAACGGCAAGCCGCTCCTCATCGAGGACGTCCACGAGCAGATCGAGCCCGCCCTCGAGCCCGTGCTCGCCAAGGCGACCTTCAACCAGGGGAACCGGATCCTGATTCGTTTAGGAGACAGCAACGTCGACTACGACCCGGCGTTCAAGCTGTTCATGACGTCGAAGCTGCCGAACCCGCACTACCTGCCCGAGGTCTGCATCAAGACGACGATCATCAATTTTACGGTGACCATGGAGGGCCTCGAGGACCAGCTCCTCGGCGACGTCGTCAAAGCGGAAAGGCCCGAGGTCGAGCGGAAGAACGTGCAGCTCCTGCTGCAGATGTCCGCGGACAAGAAGAAGCTCGCGGAGATCGAGGCGGAGATCCTGCGGCGGCTCAGCGAGGCCAAGGGCAACATTTTAGACGACGAGGAGCTCATCAACACGCTCGCGGACTCGAAGAAGTTCTCGACGATGATCAACGAGCGTTTGGAGGCCGCGGAGGTCACGAAGCAGGAGATCAACGAGGCGCGCGAGGCCTACCGGACCGTCGCGACGCGCGGGTCCATCATCTACTTCGTCATCAGCGACCTGGGCACCATCGACCCCATGTACCAGTACAGCCTCCAGTACTACCAGGTCATCTTCAACAAGTGTCTCCAGGACGCGGAGGCCTCCAAGGACCAGGAGAAGCGCCTGGGCATCCTCATCGAGTACTCGACGGTCGTCATCTACGACAACATCTGCCGGGGCCTCTTCGAGAAGGACAAGGTTCTGTATTCCGCGCTCCTCGCGTTCTCGATTTTGCGCCACGCGTCGAAGATCCCGGGCGACGAGTGGAATTTGTTCATCCGCGGCCCGGGCGTGCCCGACCGCGCGTCTCAGCCCAAGAACCCGAACCCGAAGGCGCTCCCGGAGGCGACGTGGGATTTGGTCTGCGGCATGGAGTTCCTGCTCGCGCGCGACGCGGGCTTGGACGAGAACGGCGACGAGGTCCCGGCGAAGGCGTCGCCCTACGCGGGGCTCACGGCGTCGCTTTCCAAAAATTGGGACGCCTGGGAGGCGTGGCTCGGCGCCGTGGACCCGTCGGCCGCGCCGCTGCCCGACCCCTTCGAGGCGAGCGTGACCAAGTTCTCGAAGCTCATCATCGTCAAGGCGCTCCGCGACGAGTTCACGCTCCAGGCCGTGAACAACTTCGTGCGCTACGCCTTCGGCGACGACCTCGCGGACGCGCCGAGCGGGAAGATGGACGAGATCTACGACGACCTCGACAACGCGACGCCCTGCATCTTCATCCTGTCCAAGGGCACGGACCCGACGGGCATGCTCTTCAAGCTCGCCAAGCAGAAGAACTACAGCGACCGCCTCCAGCTCGTGTCCCTCGGCCAGGGCCAGGGCCCCGCGGCGGCGGCGCTCGTGGACCGCGGCACGCGGAGCGGCGACTGGGTGCTGCTGCAGAACTGCATGCTCGCGAAGTCGTGGATGCACGATTTAGAATTAATGGTCTTCGAGCTCGGCGAGCACCGCGAGAAGAACCACCCGGACTTTCGGCTCTTCCTCACGTCGAGCCCCGCGCCCTACTTCCCCGTGTCCGTGCTCCAGAACGGCGTCAAGATGACGAACGAGCCCCCGAAGGGCATCCGCGCGAACCTCATCCGGTCCTACCAGAACCTCGTGAAGCCCGACGAGTGGGAGACGTGCAAGAAGAGCGACGCCTACAAGCGCCTGCTTTCCGGATTGTGCTTCTTCCACGCGAACGTCCTGGAGCGGCGCAAGTTCGGCCCGCTCGGCTGGAACATCCGGTACGCGTTCGACGAGTCGGACCTCGAGACGTCCATGGCCATCATGCGGCGGTTTCTCGACGAGCAGGAGGTCATCCCCTGGGACGCGCTGCGCTTCGTCACGGGCCACATCAACTACGGCGGCCGCGTGACCGACGACTGGGACCGGCGCGCGCTGTTGTGCATCCTCGGCATCTACTTCAACGAGCGCGTCATGGAGCCAAAGGACGGCGGCTACGTCGACTACGCCTTCTCCGCGTCGGGCATCTACAAGCCGGCGACGACGGGGCCTTTGGAGGAGCACCAGGCCTACTTCGACACGCTGCCGGCCGTGGACCAGCCCGAGATCTTCGGCATGCACGAGAACGCAAACATCACGTTCAACCGCGCGGAGTCGAGCGCGCTCATGGGCACGATTTTGGCGCTCCAGCCCCGCGAGAGCAGCGGCGGCGGCGGCAAGTCGAGCGACGACATCATCATCGACCAGATCGACGACATCGAGGGCAAGATGCCCGAGAATTTGGACGAGGAGGACAAGGGGCCGACGACCTTCGTGCTCCAGCCCAACGGCCTGCTCACGTCGCTCGACACGGTGTTGTTGCAGGAGATGGTCAAGTTCAACCGCCTCATGAACCGCATGCGGTCGTCGCTCCGCGAGCTCCGGCGCGCGATCGGCGGCTTCGTCATCATGTCGTCGGACCTCGACGACATGTACACGGCCTTCCTCAACAACCAGCTGCCGCCCATCTGGCGCAAGGTCTCCTTCGAGACGCTCAAGACTTTGGGCTCCTGGGTCAAGGACAACCTCTTCCGCATCGACTTCATGCGGTCCTGGCTTTTGGGGGGCCTGCCGACGTCCTTCGCGCTCCCCGTCTTCTTCTTCCCCCAGGGCTTCATGACGGGCACGCTCCAGACCTACGCGCGCAAGCACATGGTCGCCATCGACACGCTCGAGTACGAGTACGAGGTGCTCAAGCTCGACGGCGACCCCGAGGCCGCGCCGGAGGACGGCGTCATCTGCTCGGGGCTCAACCTCGAGGGCGCGCGCTGGTGCTTCGACACGCACATGGTCGTCGAGAGCCGCATCGGCGAGATGTACACCATGCTCCCCATGATCCACTTCAAGCCCGCGGTCGGCCACACGATCCCGGACGGCTTCTACGCGTGCCCCGTCTACAAGACGGCGGAGCGGAAGGGCGTGCTCTCGACCACGGGCATGTCCACGAACTTCGTCGTCGCCGTCGAGCTCCCCTCCTCCGTCGCGCCCGAGCGCTGGGTCTTGGCGGGCGTCGCGGCGCTCCTGAACCTGACGGACTAACTCGGTATGTCTCGAATGCGGGGGGGGGGGTCCGCGGCGGCCGGCGCGGTCTCGTAGATGGAGGGGGAGCGTACTATGGAGCTCCCGGGCAGCGTCGTGCTTCGATCGCCGTCTGGCGCTTCCGGCTTCTCCTCGACATGGGCCTCAAAGCCCGCCTCGTGGTTAGCTTGAAGTTCAACTTGGATTCAGCACTGGCGTAATACTGCCCTGCCGACAGTCGAAACAGGATGGCATGCCGGTCGGGGCTGCTTCTGGCGCTGCTCTCCGGCCG